CCGGGAGCGCCGCCCGCCTCCCAGGAGCAGGAGCAGGAGCAGAGCGCGGGGCGGAGAGGCTCCGGAACCAGTGCCCGGCGGCCCGCACACCCAGCCCGCGGCAGCTCGCGCCCGGCCCTGCGCCGCTCGCAGCCGCCGGGAGCTGTCCCTTCAGCACCGCCACGGAAGCCGAGTCCAAGCGCGAGCCGCAGAGCCGGATCCAGCCGTGCGCCCCGCGCCGCGCTGCGCGGCAGCCCCGCGGGGCAGCACCCGGCCCCTGCCCGGGGGACCCGCCATCTCCTGTGGGAGGCGGGGAAAAGGAGCGAGGAGGGCGGGCGGGCGGGCTCGCCGCCGCCGAAGGAGCCGGCAGCCAGGCCAGGACGAGGAAGGGGCCGGAGCCCGCCCTGCACCCGCGCCGCAGCCCGGCCGCGCAGGGAGGAAGCAGCCAGCGTCCGTCTCCCCCGCGCGGAGAGCGCACCGCGGCGACCACCGCGAGCCTAGTGCGAATCCCCGGCCCCCGTCCTGCCCTTCCCCTGCTGGGGCCAGTCCAGCGGCCCGGCTCGCAGCAGCCGACCTTCCCCCCAAAAGCTTTGTGTCGATCTCTCCATTTTCCCGCGGAGATGGTAATGGGAGCCCGGCCCCCCCACCCTCTCTCCCCTCCTCCCCGGGCTCGCCGCTGAGCGCCGCCCCCCTCCTGTGCTCTCCCTACTCCTCCCTCCTCCCTTCTCCCTCCCTCTTCTCTCCTCCTCTGCCTCCTTCACAGCCAGACCGGCTCCCTCCCACATCTGGCGCCTAGAGACCCCTGGGAGCCCGCGCGCCCTCCCCTGGACCGGCACGCGACCGGCAGCGCCCCGGCCGGCTTGGGTCGCGCGTGGAGGTGGCCCGCGCCGCGGTCCTCTGTCCCCCCCCGACGGCTGGGGGGACGGGGGAGGAGGCCGCGCGCCCCCTCCCCGGCGCCGACTCCCCCTGGCGGCCGCTCCCATGGGTGTCGCTGGGCCGCGCCATGCCTAAGGGGGCGCCGCGATGGGCCAAGGGGACGAGAGCGAGCGCATCGTGATCAACGTGGGCGGCACGCGCCACCAGACGTACCGCTCGACGCTGCGCACGCTGCCCGGCACGCGGCTCGCCTGGCTGGCAGAGCCCGACGCCCACAGCCACTTCGACTATGACCCGCGCGCCGACGAGTTTTTCTTCGACCGCCACCCGGGCGTCTTCGCGCACATCCTGAACTACTACCGCACCGGCAAGCTGCACTGCCCGGCCGACGTGTGCGGGCCGCTCTACGAAGAGGAGCTGGCCTTCTGGGGCATCGACGAGACGGACGTGGAGCCCTGCTGCTGGATGACATACCGCCAGCACCGCGACGCCGAGGAGGCGCTCGACAGCTTCGGGGGCGCCCCCCTGGACAACAGCGCCGAAGACGCAGACGCCGAAGGCCCGGGCGACTCGGGCGACGGTGAGGACGAGCTGGAGATGACCAAGCGCCTGGCGCTCAGTGACTCCCCGGACGGCCGACCCGGTGGCTTCTGGCGCCGCTGGCAGCCGCGCATCTGGGCGCTCTTTGAGGACCCCTACTCATCCCGCTATGCGCGGGTAAGTGACAGCTGACTCTCCAAAGATGGGGCGGGCAAGGTAGCGGCCTCTTCCTCCAGCCGGTAGGGTTGGGCCGGAAACTTGGCGGTAGGGAGTTCAGAGCTGAAGGAGGGTGTGTGGAGAGGGCGACTTTGCCAGGTGACTGGCACTGTGTGTATAGGACTCGGCGGCTGCATGGCTGTGTTTAATATGTATGAGTGAGTATGAATGGGTGTGTTTATGTGTATGCGTAGAGTATGTGTGCGTATTTATGTAAGTATGGTGGTGTATATTTGGGTGGGATTGAGTGAGCGTGTGTGCATGCATGAGTGTGCATGAGCGCCTGTTCGTGCACATTGTGTCTTTGCAGATGTACACTGGGAAGGTGTGAACTGCCCTCTGGCATGGGAGAGGAGTGGGGAGATTTTCCTCCTTCCCAGGTAAGGGGGCATCCGGAGCCAGTGATGGCCCAGGAAGAGAGCCTCTGGCCTGCCTGGCAGCTGGAAACAGGCCAGCCCCTCTCTAGGGACCACCTCAATCCCAGGAACCTTCCTGAATGATTCATAGCTTGGAAGTTGGTGTAGGGCTGGGCTTCTGGGCAGAGGCATGGCGATGCCCCAAAGACCTGCTCCTGAGAGCAGAGCCTCCTTTCCTGGAAGGAGTGAGAAGAGATGCAGGGTGTCATGGGCTACTACCCCTGTTTCCTCTGGCGCTGGTGAAGGTGGGAATAGAGAGGGGAGTCTTGAGGAAGTCCTGAAAAGACAAGGTGTGTGAGGTGGGTGTGTCTTCAGCACCACTCCCCTTTAGTGACAGCAGATGGTTGCCAGGGAGGACACCCTGCTGCTGACCTTGGCCCCTCAGATGACCTCTCTGGATTAGTGTCCTCATCTGTGAAGCAAAGGGGGGATCTGATGGACTCTCAAGGTCTTTGCTATTGGACAGTCAGTCACTGAGCCCAAAAAAGCTAGCAGCCAGCTATCCCGGAAGAGATGCCCTGGCCTTCTGGAACTCTGTTCTCAGAGTCCTGCTGAGAGCCAAAGCCTGCGAGGGAGGGGCAGAGTTTAAAGCCAAGCCCCTCCCCCATCCATGAGCCACCCCCTACCTCCTCCCAGGCAAAACCCTGCCTCTGCCTTGCTTTTACTGCTCCATATCCCTGCCCTACTGGCCCCAGGAGCCTCAGCCCCGGCCAGGGGGTGGAGCTGGGGAAGATCAGTGGCCTAATGGCACTTTGGGACCCTGAGGTGCTCAAGGGCAGAGGAGTGCTGTATAATCAGAGATCTGGCAGATTTGTTACTAAGATAAAAAAAACAAACAAAAAAAACAGGATGTGTGAGGGAGAGGGCAGGTCAGAATCTTCTACCTTGAAGTCTAGAACAGGTGTGTGCATGTGGGGGTAGGGAGAGAGAGAGAGAACACACCTGGCCTTTCATCATGCCCAAGGTCACCTAGGAAGGCAGAGGCCAAGTAGGACTTGAATCCAGCTCTCCTGGGGCCCTGTCCTTCCAGGAGTTGGCCACTGGCTCTCTGCCAGTCCTGTGGGGGCAGGAACCCTCTGAGGTCTCCCCTTCCATCCCTTTCCTGACAGAGGCCACAATAGCTAGAGGATTATGTAACTAGAGGCTGTGCTGAGTATGGGGAGGGGCCAAAGCAGGGGACTGAGATGCTGAAGTGGTCTGTACTGAGGAGGGCTCAGGGTGCAGGCAGGGCAGGCCTGGCTAGAGCAGCTGCCCATCAGCAGCCTTTGACCTTGGGCAGCTTTGCCTTTCTCTTGGCCCCTGGAAGCAAGGGATAGGCCCTACTTCAGGGGTGTCTCAGCCTCGCAGCCCCCCGAGAGGCTGGGCCCTCCACTGACTGCTTTTCTTATGCTCAGCTTTAGGGCTCTCATGGGGTCCCTGAGTTTCAGGGCAGGCAAAGGTCAGTGGGCCATGTTCCAGCCCCATACCTGTCCATCTCCTCCCTGTGGACAGCCAGAGTGTGGGGTGGCCTTCATGCGGTGGACACAAATAGACCACCTAGTATGGCTTGAGGTCTTACTGATATACAAAATCACCCTGAAAAGTGTTTTCAGGTCTCTCAAGTGGAGGCACATTGAGTCCAGACTAGGACATGGTGGGGTGAGAGTTTGTCCTGTGATGCAGGCCAGGGAGTGTGTCCCTCTCAGCCTGTCTGTGCTTTCTTTCCCTGTCCCCCCACTCACAGAAAGGCTGTAGTCCCCTCTTACTCCACTCTCATGGGTAACCCAGGAGAGCACCAGGCGGGCAGGGAGGGAGCTGTGCAAGGGCACACAGGGCCCGAGGACAGGGCTGGGGTTAGAACCCGGCTCCCACAGCTGCCAGCCTGGCTGCATTGCAGCTGCCTCCCGCAGCTCTGCGCAGAGACCAGGCTGCCGCCCTCCCCCTCCTCCTCCCCATCTTTGCTCTGCCGCTGCCTGCCTGCCGGCACCTTTGTTTACCCCTCCCTCCCCGCGGCTCCAAGCCTCCTCAGATTGGTGGGCTGGGATTTCAATTTTCATTTGAGATTCTAGAGCAGAACCTCATGTGTGTGTGACAGTATATGCATGTGTGAAAGAAAAGCTGTATGTGTGTGAGACAGAATCTGTTTAAGAGATTCTGTGTGGGAATGAGAGACTACATATGTGTGAGAATGAAAGTATGTAAGTGAAACTCTAGGTGCATGCACACGTGTGTGTGTGTGTGTGTGTGTGTGTAAGAGATGATGTGGGAGAGCATATGTATATAAGACACTGTGTAAGAGATGCTGTGTGAGACTCAACCTGTGTCTGAGTATATCACTGTATGTGGAAGTGTGAAAATGTTTATATGAAGCATTGCATATGCCTTTGTGTGTAAGGCAGTGTGCACGAGACCATCTGTGCTTGCACAGTGTCCTGGGTGTGACAGACTGTGTGTGTGTGTGTGTG